CAGTACCTTCCTCATCCTCTTCTTCCTCAGGCACAACTTTCTGGAGAGGCTGAGAGTGCATCCAGCTTCACCCAGCAGTGCTGATCTGGGTGCCCTCACTCAGGTCCAGCAGTCCCTGTGTGTCTGTGTGTCTGCCCACGGGCTCAGGCTGCACCTTTCCAACCACCTGCGAGGGAGTTTGGGAGCTCTGCTCACGTGGCAGGACCTGACCTGCACATGTTCCTGGCAGGACTGGGCTGAGGCTTACAGGTGAGCTGGGGTGCTGGCCCAGGAGCCCACAAGAAGCCTCAGTGGGCACTATTGTGGTATGAAGTGAAAAAGAATGCTAAAAATTTATCCTTCATCTGGCTTCTTGACTCATCCCTGGGAGACTGAGATTTCCCTTTGAGCAGGGGCTGAGCAGCTGGGAGACACACAGGACACCAGTTCCCTAATCCAAGGCTCATCTCCACCTCCCCAGAGGGCTCAGGTAGCAGGTGAGATCTCCTAAGAAGCTCATCAGGCATCCCACTACCCATCATGGCCAAAACCAGGGCAGAAGCCCACGTTGTAGGGAGTGAGTCTGCGTGAAGCCAGCAGAGCTGGGGACACCCTGCCCAGCATGTGCCCAGCTCAGTGGCATGGGGAGCTGGTGGTCTGGAAGCAGGCCAGGAGACCATGGGAGGTGAGAAGGTCTCTTTCCTGCCTGCTCCCCATGGCATCTCCTCCCAGGGCCAAGGCTGGTGCCAGCTTTGTGCCAGCACACGGGCAGGAAGGCCTGGGGGCTGTAGGACTGACAAATGGGGCAGTGGGTGCCACCAGCAGTTCCACATTCAGTGGACACGTGCCCACAGCTGTTCTGGGGGATGGGCTGGGTAATCCCTCCTGCTTCCCAAAAAGCTTTGGAAGGGCTGCTCCTGCAGCCAGGGATCCTTGTGTCCCAGCACTGGGATAGGGCCACCACAGCCCACCGAGGCACACAGGCTGTGACACCAGCAGGGCTCAAGGGTACGTGTCCTGGTTCCAAACAGGATCCTTCACTCACTCTGACACTTCCTGGGGCTTCTCCCTCCTTGATCACCATTCCCAGGTGTTTTGCTGTTGCCCAAATATTGGGGTTTCAGGAGCTTCTTTAGGTTCATGAATGTTTAGCCCTTAGTAGAGCCATGGATTTTTAAAAGCAAAAGGTCATTTCTAGGTCACTGAATAATTACTATTGCTGTCCCCACTGTCACTAATTCCGTCACAGAGAAGCAGCAGCTTGCTGAGAAATCCTTGAGCTGCAGGCTGAAAATGAAGGGAAATTCATCACAGAAAATGCAAGATTAGGAGCACTTAGTGCCATGGGCTATTGGAAGGAGAAGCAGGGCCAGGGGACATCAAAGCTGGGCACAGAGATTGCCTTCATCCCTGCTGCTCCCCACAGGGGACTCAGCTCATCCTGCACATGATGTTACTTCAGAGTGCTTGGCACAGTGGAGAGCTGCCTGCAGCCCCTTTGTGCTGTGCCTCCACCACAGGTCTGGGCTGGGCTTTTGGGTGCACACTCCTTTCTTGCAGCCTCTGGTCAAAGCACTGTGCTGGTCACAAAGTCTGTGAGGACCTCAGTGTTTGCTGTGAGCCAGGGCAAACCCTCACAGGTCAAGGGGAAACACCAACTGGAGGGAAAGCTGTTGCTGTTCATGAGATGGTTTGGGTTTGGAAAAGACCTTAACTCATCTTGCTCCTCCTCCCTGCCATGGGCAGGAACATCTTCCTCTAGCCCAGGCTGCTCCAAGCCCCATCCAACCTGGCCTGGAACACTCCCAGCAGGTGTGGGGCAGTCCAACTGCTCTATTGCTGCTAGAGGTCATTTTTTTTGGAGGAGTAACAGGATCCTTCAGCTGCATTGGATTATCTTGGGATAGATTCCCTGACTGGCAAAGTGAGAGGGAGCATTACCAGGTGGGGGCAAATCTGACTTCCCTCACTGAGAAAAGCTTTAGGGACCCTCTAAGAGCAGGAATTGCCTGCTGTGGGGTGGAGCAGCTCCTCCTGTGCTTAGGGGAGCCCAGCACTACACTGGACTGCCCTTGGGATGGCCGGGATGTCATTCCAGCCCTCAGCCAGTGCAGCATGCAGGGTGTGGCAAGGTGCTTTTCCATTACATTCCTGGCAGACACACTGCAGGTTCAATCCATGACCAAGAGGAGCAGCCTCAGCTGGGAATCCTTGTGGGCTGTGAGCTGTGCTGGACACTACAGCTGTTGTTACTGTCTCACACGGCAGGGAGAGGCACTTTGGGCATCTCCTGCTTCCAGTTTTAGCACAGTTCAGTTCTTCTGGTCAGTCCTGGCAAAGTTTGCTCTGGCTGTGATGGATGCAGCCTGGCTCAGGGAGACCCTTCTGGGAGGAAGAGCAGAGGAGCAATGTCTGTTGTAGGGTCAGTCAGGCTGAGCTGGGTTCTGCTGCTCAAAACCAGTCCCCTCCTCTTTTCCCCCGTGTTTGTGGCTCTCCCAGGGCATCCTTGTCAGGTCAGGCTCTTCCAGGCATCCCTTGGCACTGAGCTTTGGCTGCCTCATGGACACAGTTTCCCCAGCAGTCCCTGCCTGATGGCAGCCTGGGACAGGCAGCTGCCCCCAAAGGCTCTGGAGCAGCTGGCCCCATCTGTGTCCCAGCTTGCCCAGGGGGTGCAGAGCAATGGCTCCCCAAGAGTCACACTGCCTTCCTCCTTGCCTGGCAGCAGAAATCACCCTCTGCCCTTGCCCTGGCTTTTGATTCCCAGGCCAACTTGAATATTGGGTATTTTATAAAATTCCCCACTTTCAGCATCTCTGTATTTTGGACTTGGAGAAACAAATCCAGGACAAAATAATTCAAGTATTCCTTTCGCAGTTCCCATGCTCTGCTGGGTTGAAAGGGAAGCTCATAGGAGGTGGATCAAGTTCATGTCTGTGCCTCTTGATTGCAAATATGCATTCCTGGAAATTCAGGGCAGTCTCTATTCCCAAAACCTGCATGGCAGGACTGGGAAGGATTGGGAGCTACCAGTTGGCTTTTGAGTCACTTCTCCATGTGAGCAGCAGTGGTGGAAACAGCAAAAATACCTTTTCTGCTTCCCTAGGTCAGGAATGCCACCCTGGGGCATTTCTTTTTATCTTGAATAACCTACTTCAGCCAATTCCCAGAAAAGTCACAGGTTCTCTGCAATGCCAACCAAACCGGCATGGAAGGAATTGCTTTGGTTGGGAGCCATCCTGTGAGGCAAGACCAGCTCAGGATGCTCCATATCTGAGTTACTGGAGCATTTCCCCATCCACTGAAAACAAATTTGAGCAATTACTAACCCCAAAACTTTGTGACTGAAGTTTTTGTCTGACATTTCAGTTTGGTTTTTGCTTTACACATTAAAATGAGCAGTGGAGACATGAGAGGCAGCAGGATCAATGCTGAGGGTTGTTCCCATGTGCTGTAAAGAGAGAGTTGGGTTTGGAGTGGGAAATTAAGCTAAAGAGGAAGTATTTTCTTCCAAAATAAGGGCTTTTCATGGCTTGGCAAGGTGTAGGGGAGCTGTTTCCTGCTTCTTCTCAAGCACCCACCACTGGCCAATTTGTACCAGCTTGGAGGAGCATCTGGCCCAGGTAAGTTTCCTGATGTTACTCGGACAAATGCAGCCATTTCATCAGTGTGCTCTATTTCCCCCAAACTAGAAAGCAAATTTCTAGGAATATACTGCTCATAACCATGGGCTAGCTCACAAAGGAGACAGAGATGTGTGTAAATATGCTATTCAGAGGAGTAAGAGACAGCAGATTAATTTCTGATGGAAACAGTGTGGCCTGATGGGTGAGCTGCTGCAGTGCAAAGCCCAGGGAGAGCTGGGGCGGTGCTGCAAGGCCAAAGAAATGGATATCTCAAACCTTTCCAAGCCAGCGAGGGAGAGAGGAGAGGGAAGGGGCAGGGGAAGGCTGGGAGAGACACTGTCCGTGTACACGGAGCAGGGTCCGGGCTCATCCCTCCGCAGCACCAGAGCGAGTGTGGGGTGGGGCAGGAATGCTGCCCTGAACATGAGGCGTGAAATCCATGTCCAACAAGAATTTCAGGCAGTGCCTAACGCAAGCACCGGATGGGTTTGTAGGCAGGGCTGAGGCGCTGGGGCGCTGAATGAAGCACGGGGTGACGCAGCGCTCAGGCGGGTGCATTATTGATGGGTTCCTTCTCCCCAGGTTTGAGCGCCCGGGAGAGAAGCAGCGTCTGCGGCGCTTGGAGGGGGACACGCTGTGGCCAGAGTCGGCATTTGCAACGCCTGCCGGCTCCTCTGCTGCTCCTGGAGCAGGGATTCCTGCATCCAGCCTCTCCCTCCGCCGCTCTCCACCTGCAGCCCCTCCACCCAAGGCGGGGCAGCGCCTGCCCCATCCTCCAGCCCCGGAGCTCCGGGGAGCTTTGGGGGCTCACAGCCGGCTCTTCTGGGGCTTGGAAGGGGTGAGAGCCCCTGAATTTCCTTTGGCTTTGCTGATGATCCAAAGCCTTCATCTGTTTCTGGGGACTGCCCACAGACCCACGGCAGGGGCAGAGCTGGGAGCACAGGGTGTTCCAGCAGCCTTGGAACAGCAGGAACAGGACCACTGCTGGAACTGAGTGGGACAACTCATTCCCTCACAGGAGGATGTTCTACTTCTATCCCAAAGCCTTCTGCTGTAAAAAACCCATCCTGTGTCTCCAGGCCCCAGGCCTCAGCCCGGTGAGCAGCAGTGAATGCTGCAGGGCTTTGGGCTCAGAGCATCCTGCTCATCTCAGCTGCTTGGGATGTGAAGGGAAAGCCTCATGGCTGGAAAACATTGGAAAACGTGAGCTAGCATTCCTGTCAGGCCTTGCAGGGAGAGGCGTGGTTTGCCTCTTCCTCAGAACCTAATTTGAACCACAAGGATGCAGTGGAAAGAAAAAAAACTGCTTTGGAAGATTTTTAAAGAACAGCACGAACTAAAAAAGCAGCTGCCAAACTGAATTTCTATTATTAAAAATCAGCACTGATAAGAGCCATATTAGATCAAATAATTTATTTAGTAATTCCATGTAAACACTTCAGATTTACTAGCAAATACAATGCTTGCTGTTCTTTTAAATAGATCATTCAAAAAATAAGAATCTATTATTAATGGCAGGTTGACTAGAGATCTCCATACTACTGTACAATAAGGAATTGGTTTTCTAATGGATTTAACATCTCAATTTTTCTTGCTCTGCATTTGCTTTACACAAAGCCCAAAGGACACAGGTTTGAACTGCTCCCTGACGATGCCACTGCGGCCCGGGGTGTTTTGGGGAAGGTACGCAGGCAACTCCTCCCATCCTGGCATTGGTGTGAGCTGATGTGAGGGTGGGATGGCAGAGCTGGCGTGAGCACTGTTCACAAACACACGCCTTTTCGGTCAGAAAACAGACAGTGAACGGTGGAGAACTTCTCTTTGGGATGTATAAAAGCAACGAACTCCATCGTTGGCATTTACTTATCAACACAGCAGTACACATACACGTATCCACAGTCTGGAAAAGCATCCTATGAGCTGGAGAAAGCAGTGGTTCTGAGGCTTGGTACACCAGTGCACTAAAACCAAAAGAATGATACCTTCTTACATAGTCAAATGAAAAATAAATATCTTTATTTTCTGCCTACTTTATTTCAGTTTTCAAATAAATTTTAAATAAATCTGTACAAAGTATACTGTTACAGTATATATTTGTAAGTGAACTGAAATGCCTAAGTGTAACAACACTACAGGAAAGCAGTAAAGATTGGCACATCTCTAATCAAGATTAACATCTCTAATCAAGATTAACTTTTACACTCAAAAAATACCAACGCCTGTGAAAACCCACAAAATATTTTTGGTATTTTTTTATGCAAGTTGCGTTGCAAACACATGACAGACCAATTCTCCCCTGCCTGGAAAAGAAAATCACTTCTCGTGGTTCTCACAGAACATGAACATCTTTATGATGCTAAAGGGACACCATCAGGTGAAAAGAGAGAGAGAGATTTCAATTTGTAAAAAGCAAACGCTTCGGTCAAAAATCGTCACGTTTGGGATTTGGTGAGCGTTTGGCCGCGGCCCCGAGCTCGGCTGCGGAGCAGCGGCGCTGCCCAGACCCCCGGAGGGCTGAGCTGCTCTGGCCAGGGACACAGAGCCCCGGCAGAGGAGCTGTTCCCCCTGCGATCCAAAAAGAATTAACACGCATGCCACAGGGCTGCAGTTTGTGGTTTCTTTTTCCCCCCAAAAGCAAGAAACTAAAATTGATCTGACAGTGTCCCTTTGCTCAAAATAAAGACTTCCGTGCTAGAGAGGTCAGATAATGAAACAAACTTTTTCAAACTTTTTCACAGGGTCAAAGAGACAGGTACATCTCAAAATTCAAGTTTTCAAATCCCATTGCAGTTATCAGACTCATGAGCTCTCAAAATCTCCTAATATTTCATTAAATAATTCCCAACTGGGAATCGGGGATAAATACTACAGATTAAGAGTGAGAGTTTTCTCTCTTAATCCTTCCAAAGATATATTCACTCAAAGTTTACATGCTGAAAGTTAATCTTACATTAGAATGTAATTGGCTGCAACATAAACCTATAAATGAATCAACTACCATAGATTAAACTCTGTTAAATATTTCTAAGTTAATAAAATATTGACAGTATTATAAAATTACAGTATTTACAATAAGAAAAATCTAGACTAATATATACCTTTAACAGATCTCTTCTTCAATTTGGGATTGCAACGGAATTATGAATATATGAACAATTTATTAGAAAGTTGCATTGCAATTATCAGGTTTTCCATTAGAGCTAGAGAGGGTGAGCTATCACTGCCTTTGGAAAAAACAAAAAGTGACTTCTGGTGGTGGGGTGTAGCTTTTGAGTACCAAACTGGTAACAGGAGTCCTCCGCAAGACGTCTGAAGATAAGGTAGGACCAGCCTCAACTGCTCAGATTAAGGTTGTATTACAGAACTGCCAGCAATCAGAACCACCCAGGCTGCAAAAGGGGAGGAAAGGTAGTTTTCAGCTCAAAGTGCACAGCTGGAAGGGCTCCCCTCATTCTGGACTCCAACTAAGGCTGCAGGAGCTTGGATCAGCTCTCAGGAACAGCAAAGCCCTCAGCTCAGGGTTCCTGAGGAGGAAACGAGCCACGGTGCTCCTTAAAGGGACATGGTTGGGCTCCAGCTATGCCAAAAACACCCTTGTCAACCCTGCAGGACAAAACCAGACTGGGCATCTGGCCATTTGAGATCCTCTTGGACTTGCTTTTTTAGGATGTTTTTTCTGGGGAGGTACAGGGATGGGTTTTGGTTTGGGATTTTTTTTTTTTAATTATTTTTTTTGTGTTTTGTTTGCTTGGGAAAAAAAAATTGGCCGGGACCATGCAGTAAACTCATTTTCTATCCCTCATCAGGTTCTCTGCTTCTGGGGTATTACCAAAACGTGAAGTGTTTGGGTGGCAAATACTTATGAGGAAAAAGGAGGCTTCAACATTCCCAAGTCAATTTGTCTTGGGATAAACCAAAAGCAATTTGAGTCCTTAGAAATTGCCAGCTGCTTTTGGGGTCTCAGACACCCAGTGATGTCCTTTTAAGGATCAGATCTTTCACCTGCCCTTTTTCCCAGCCTCGGAGGATGAGTTTACAATGAGTTTAGGAAGGGCCACGTTCATGTTCTCTCCCTCCTCCCCATGTCACATTTGCTTTCTAGGAAAAAAGGGGGGGAAAAGTAAGTTACAAATTCCTTTCCCGCCCTTCCCTCCCCCGGTCCTGCTCACAGCAAACCAGAAATGGCAGTTTTTAGTGTATATTTTGGGATAAATTATTTTCTCAGTCCCAAGCCTGAAGATGCTAGTGAGTGACCTACCCGCAGGCTTCAGAGAGAAGGAGAAATTTAGGGGTTTCTACCAGTTCCCATGGTGGGCAGGTGGGAACACCTCTGTCCTTAAAAGCAGGATTTAAAATGGCAAAAGAATAATTTGTAAACTCGGATCTACATTACCAACAGAAGGCTCTAGGTCCTGCGGGCTCCAGTTCCCAGAGATGCAGAGCAGGAAAACTAGAAAGAGAACTCGGTACCTTTCAACCACCTGCTGGGTTGTACTGGGAGGGAGTGGGGAATGAGAGAGACAAAATGCCAACTGACCTTATAAACAAAGGTATGTTTAGGGCTTCTGGTTTCAGGAATAAACCGATATTTACTGGTAAAAGTCTGCCAAAAAACAAAAACAGAAACACAGGATTACTGGTAAATATTGGTTTATATGGAGAATTTAAAAAAAAAAAAGAGAAAAAAAAACAAAAGAGATGTCATTGTGCTCCTGATCTCCATGTGCTCCCAAGTGGGAGCTGAGAACCGACCCATGGCATCCCTGCACCCAGTAGTGTCTCTGGCACCTGGACACCTCAAACCAGAAGCCTTGTGTTGAGAGGAAAGTCGTGTTTGTTTCCTTTACTCCCCTTAAACTATGTGTTTCTGGATTCCCCCCTCCCTCCTCTGCAAGGCTGGTCCTACGGGGGTTTGGCTCAGGAGATGGGAAGTCTGCTTCCAAAAGCACTGGGAAATGAGTTTGTACATAATATGGTATCTCAGCACAAGGCTGCTGGGGCCTGAGCCTCGGCTGCTCCCTGAGATACCATAAAATATACAAGGCTGAGTGTATATTTTAAATAAAGCATTTTCTTGTAAGTGGCATAAACCCATTCATTTTATTTACATGCTTATTTATTTCCAAAAATAGAGTTGGTCCACATTGGACAAGAGAAATCAAGAAGCCATACAGTAGAAGAGTTAAAAGTCCAACATTTAACCAAAGTACAATGAAATTCCAGAACTCTGTGGCTGACTGGAACCACAGAAACATACACATGAGCCACACAGACATTTGTACATAGAGCATTATATTACCAATAATATTTGCAAACATGAGGTCAAGATGGCTAAAAACCCAGCAGGACTGACCCGGGCGTCCTGGCTGAACAGAAGTGGGTGCTGAGGGGCTGTCACTGCTGTGGGGAAACACAACTCTCCAGAGATTTTCCTTCACTTTTGGTTTTTTTCTTTAACTGACAGAGTCCTAATTTTTCCGCCCTGGGGATCCAAATTGAGGACACGGTGAAAGCCAACCCCACGGAGCTCCCTAAATGCCGGGGTGCCAGGGGCTCAGACCTGCGGGACAGCGCGGATGCCACGTGGCACTGAACCCCACTGGAGGGCAAACACTGCCCTCTGCTACTTGGCCTTAAAGATCACCTGGAAAAGAAAAAGTTGGGATTTATACCCTTGTGGTGTGCTGAAAAAAGTTTGGATGGGGTTTGCCTTGAAAACAAGGATTTCCCTCCCTTGCCATGGGCAATTTTTGGCATTAGTTATTCTAGTCCTGTCTACCTTTCCTGGAAGATCATAAATATCCTAGAGGATGTTGCACTGACAGATGAGGGTATAACTTTTTTTACATTGAAAAATAAAAAACAAACAAAAACCTGGAGGATGGACAGCAAAAAAAAAAAAAAAAAAAACAAACAAATGGAAAAGATGCCTTATCTCTGTGTGAGGGTCCAGCTCTCTGGGTATTTCCATGGACCTCACCATGATAATATCTCAGTGTCTCCAAAGGATGGAACAACAGACTTAAATTTGTATGTTCTGCTGCAGAAAATCACAGCAAGTAAAAGGGGGAAGACAGTTGTAGCACTTATGGTACTTCTACAAACCACTCACTACATGGAGTAGAACCACACGGAAAGGGTATAAACTAATTTTCCTTTTTCAAGTCATCTTTGACACTCACGCTATTAAGCCTAGTCCAATGTGAATGCTAGTACAGAGCTAATGTACAGAATACCAGCAATAATTATTGGTACCTAACAGGATTTAAAGGCGAGTATACTCAGTACACTTATTAAAAAACACTATTACCAGAATGCCAGAGCTCTGACAGCAGTTACACAAAGCAGCCGTGCAGGTCTCTATGAGGACAGAGCCTTTAGCACAAGTCGCTATGATCATCTGAGCCTGTGACAGACAACTCGATCTTCTAATTTGTTACCTAGAACATCTCTAATTGCAGATGTGAAATACATTTTAAAACGGAGATGGGCCTGATCCTGTGCAGTTGGGTATGTACAACGCACCCCAGTGAAACTCAAAGCCCAAATTCCTAAAGAGAGAGCACAAGAAACTGTTGTCTTACATCAAATAACTATCATGCAAGCAATACCACGACAGTTTTATATTGAGTAACTTCAAAGTCAGCTGGTATAATTTAACTAGAAGTGAGCAATCTAATGGATTTCTAGGGGTAGGGACAAAGGTTGTGCCAGTGACAACCACCTGATCACTAGGGAGAGCAGCACAGGGACACTGTGGGGCTCTAAGGAGCTGTGGTACAGAGGAGCTTCTGCTCAACAGCCTCACAGACCTGCACCTACACCTGAAATGTGCAGGATTCCTGTGGCAGAGCACACATCTTCCCTTCATTTGCTCTGCTACCAGAATCAAAGTTCTTCCTCCTGAATGAACAATTCACTTACAGCCTGGCATACTGACGGAGCATTAAAAATTGCTTTTTTTTCCCCCGTTGCTTGTTGCCTCACTTGTCCCAGGGTCAGCCCCATGCTCACTGCACCAAACCTTATGCTCTTCTCAATTTTCCAGCCACAGCCAGGCTCGGGTCACTTCCCCGGTATAACCCAACCACTCTGCTTTTGTCTTTAAACATAAACTCTGACTGAAAGCCTCATGGTGCTTGCAGTTATCCTGTTTCTATTGCAAACTCCAACGACTTATCAAAGCACTCACTCTTTGGTACCATCATCTACTGAAGACAAGGAAGGTGGGGGAAGCCAGGGTATTTGCCATGACTCCTAGACTTTTAAGAAGCCTAAAACTAAGCCAGAGCAGCAAAAGGTTGCTCTGGCTGACACCAGTTACCTGTGGGTTCTTCTGGGTCTCCTGGGAAGAGAGGTAACACAGGTCTGCATGTGCACACACCAATAATCTCCCTCAAGGACAGACCTAGGCAAACACTGGAAGATGCTGCCCAGACCGCTGTTCCTACTCCTTCCCTTTCTACCCATTTTAAAAGTCAAGACCTTTGAGTTTTTTCTTAGTAAGAAGAAAACAGAACATACCCACAATATCAGCTGCTGAGGCACACTCTGGGATCTGGCAGACCTGCAAGTCCAGCTCAAGGCAGGAATTTGAACTGGGGGTGTTGCTTTGCAGGAGACATCTAGATGCCATATTACCCAATATTCTGGGCTTGTTTCTCCTGTCAGCCCAGACTTTGCAACCTGGATCTAGTGGTGTCCACCACAAAAGTTTCATGAAAATCAACCTTTCTCCACCCAGCAACTTTGGGTTTAATGAAACCATTGAATGGAACTCATTTGCTCAAAGGCTGAAGATGCAGACTTGGAAGCCTTTAATCACTTTCTCTAACTAGACTTTAGTCTACCTTTTGCTCCCCAAGTGACAAATATCAACTGCAACCAAAGAAGACTCTTCTCTTCTCATAACAAGCCTATTTTTGTCCTGCTGTTTTTCAGTCATTCTGGTAGGTGCCCCAGCAAACCAGACTGATCATAGAATCAAAGAATGGACTGGGCTGGAAAGGATCACCTGATCCAACCCCTTTTCTCTGCAGAAAATATGTTGCTTTCCATGTCTCACACACTGAAGAGCTACAGCACTTCAGATTCTCCTTCTCAAACTGGAGTTCAGGGTTTCCGATCTGCAATCCCCAGTGTCCCGATTAATACTTTAATTAAAAAAAAAAAAAAAAAGAATAACCTGACATTAGGACGTTATCTAGTCATGGAGAATACTAAGCTGTTTTTTGACAGCCCTGTTTCTGTTAGTACCTTTAAATGTTTCAGTCCCAAGCTTTTTTAAAACCCCTTGATGCATCTGTTGTTCCTCCACTTGAATTTCCTACTTTGCTCCAGCATCTCTGCCTCACTTGAGTTTCAGAAGAAGGCTCCTTATTCCACCCAAAAGGACAGCAGGCTCTCAAACATGCCCTGTGCTCCAGAAGGACATAGGGGAGTCACTTCAGTGGCATGAAGAAGTGCAGGAAATGAATTCTACCTTCAGTCCTGCACAGCCAGATTTTCTCCCCAGCCTTGTCTCTCATGTCCCTCAGACAGCATTGGCTCCCCAAAGCCTCCAGCTCTGCAAAGCCCCTCCTAAACTGCTTCATTTCCCAATCATGGTTACCTGCACTACTACGTGGCTCTTCCAGTCTGCTCCTTAAGAGCTGGACTGCTGTCCTTGGGTGGAATCTTCCTGAACTCCAGAAGTCCCTTCCTTTAGAACTATTTTTAACAACAGTTTTAGGGTTGTTCGTTCTTTTGTGACAGATTTCTGCCTCACCTGGATGTCAATAACCTTCCCAGGTATCTATGGTATGTCTAAGGACTCCCCTGCAATATTTTGGAAAAAAGAAGACTCACTTTTAGTCCACTTCTACCCCTGAGAACTCTGCACATGCAATTCAGTGACCCCAGGTGGTCACCGTTACTTAACAACTCAATAATAATTGTATTTTGAATCAGGTCTTACGTCTTAGTCCTAAACAAAGGCGAACTCTAGACCAGGCTGTTACAAGAAATTATTCTTTAAGTAAATCAATATGTTTGCACACCGAAATGTTAGCCAGTTCCCTCCCAAACAATCTGGCCAGATAGCATGGTCATAATAGAACTCACTTTTTCTAACAGGTTTATGAAGATGCGTAAGCCTGTTTTTTTCCCAAGGCTCATGAAATCCTCAACTTTCCTTTTGTTTGGAACAGAAAACTTCCTAATACCTCCATGTCATTAAAATACAGAATTTGTATCCAACATAAATGTGGCTGTTTGGTCGTCAGTACTCCAATTTCCTCAGATTTTACAGCAACCTTTTAGCTGTAGTGTTCCTCCTTTATGACCTAACATACCTGCTACAATGGCAGGTAATGCAGTATCTTATTGATTTCTATCACCCCCACCATGTTTCAATCAGAGCAGCTGTGCCGAAGTCTTTTTTCACCACTGAGCAATCTACAATAACTATTTTTGTCTCTTGTTTCCACCCTGTTGTGCAGATGTGCCCATTCCTTACTCCAGCCCAATCCCTCCCGTGCACACAATTCTGCTCTCGATCTCCAGCCCCAGCAGCCTCAGCCTCCCACCAGCTCTGTCCTCCCCAAACCCTGCCCACCTGCCGTGCCACCAGGCTGGGGACGCCTGGGCTGAAGTGGAAATGCTGTGAAGTCACAGCTCTTCAGTTCACTTCCCTGTCACAGCCTTTTCCCAGGCACACACACAGACTTTGGGAAGAGGCACTGCCATGTCCTAAATTCTGTCTCCTTCCTGGACACCAGGAAGCTTCCCAGGTACCTCAGCTTCAAGAATGCAGGCTTGCCCCAAGCACGCTGACACCTTTCAAAGTCTACATGTCCAATCAACAGGGAGATAATTTGATGGATCTCCTAATCATTGGGAACTTGTATTTCCCATCACTAAATCCTCTGGCATTCAAACCTCCTACAGCTGTTTTTCCAGATTCTGGAAGCATATCCAGAACACAAATTAACTCCTCAACCAAGGCTTTGGTTATAAACCACCCCTTCAATCCTGTCCAGCTTCAAGTCTCCATAAGGCAGGACAGTCAGGGCTGTGGTGGGAGTAAACCCTGACCATGCTCATTTATTTCCAGAAATAGAGTTGGTCCACACTGGACAAGAGAAATGTCTAATTCTCTTGGATTGAACAAGGATTTGGTGCCATCTCTCCTCCAGCAGTTCTGGCCTCAGGATGCTTTCTGGAGCCTGGAATGCCCCCACTTGTTGCTCCATATAGTATTTCATCAGCAGATAATCACTCATAAAGCGTGTCCTCTCTGCACTCTTGTGTGCAGTTCTTTGTGCAATTAAGCCAATGTACTTTGATTCCCATAATTAAGCTAGGAATTTTACTTTATGACCATATAAAGTCCATCTTTAAACCAAAAATAGACTGACCGTTAACAGATTCTTTTTTTTTAAATTACTTTAAACTGCCAATTAGAGACGTGCATTGGACAAGATAAGTTACATATGGCCTTGCAGAAGCCTGCAAGGACTCATTTTCCAGGACTTTTATTGAGAGGTGAAGCTCAGAAGCCAACTTCTTTTTTTTTAAGATAGAATGAGCCTCTGATCACAGCAGATCTATCCACAAACCAAACTGTTCGCATGCATGAAAGCAGAGATGGCTTTTACATGAATTTGCAGTGCTCAGTTCAGAGTTATTAATGACAGAAAATAATTCAAAGCCTTTAGTCCCTACTTCGCTCAGACCTGCCTGGTTGCCCTTCAGCAGCCCCTGGCAACGGTGAACACACTGTCATTTATTATTTAAATAAAACAATCTTTTTAATAAAAAGGAAGTCTCACCCTATTTAAACTCTGTACCTGACAAGACACCAGCTTCTTTCCTTCACCTCTGGTGCTGCTCATGCAACATTTTTTTAAGCTGACCTGCCCACACAGCTTCTGATAAGCCAATGCTACATTGCCAGCTCTCCTCAGCATCACTCAAGTGGGAGGTTTAAATACCAGATTTCACAAAACCCTTTCTCCATGATTCCTAGCCCTGGCATTTCTTGAAGTATTGACAGATCGGCAAGCCTTCCCAGCTCGCCCAAAAGTGAGCCAGCTGGACCTGCTTCTGCTGGACTGATGCAGAGAGAAGAGCTGGTCCCTGAAATCCCAGCACTCACCTCTCGACCCCATGGTGAGTTTTGAGGAGCCTGGACCGGCTGACATCGATGTGCCGATGCAGACTCACTCCCCAGGAGCTGCTGGTCTGAGCTCCCCTGCCCATGTTAGATGCCTGGGCAAAAGGTGAGCCCAGGCAAGTTCCAAACCTCAGAAGACTGCAGGCAACAAAGCCAGCAGCCTACATTGTGCTCACTATTGTGCAACCAGGATGGAGCAGGAAGAAATAAAATGCATTCCCTAGGGAGACACTAGAGCAAGTGCAAGCTGGGGGGCAGAGACAGCCAAACAAAGGTGGCTGCCCTTCAAATGACAATGCTGCTCCCAGACATCCCAACAGACAGGTCCTGCCTGATGCACAACCACTGTCCAGCCCTCTGACAGCTGCCTTTCTACCCAGAGTGAGAACAAAATCCCCCAAACTTCCAATGGTCCAACCTCGATGGGCACACAGCAATTTGAGCCCCGAGTCACACATCAAGACGTTCACCAGTAACAGAAAAAACGACCACTGCTCATTTACTGACTCAATTCCCAGCACCAGAAACTATCCAGGTCCATGATATGGACACAGCCTCTTCCAGCCTCATCTCAACACCAGCCACATCAGCACAAACCACACTGGGGGTCAGCCCCGCAGCAGAGCCCCCACAGTCCCCCCAAAACTCCCCGTGCCATCAATCCAGAGCACGGTGGTGATGATGTCTGAGAGCCTAGGCTTGGCTCCCAGACCTTCCTGCAAGCATGGCAGTAAGACCCCCCAGCCCACAGCGCTGCCATGTGTCAGCAGGACGGGATCTCCTGCACCAAGGCCACACCCATGGGGCTGCTGCACGGTCCCTGCACCGTGTTCAGTAAGAGAGCCAAACCCACCGGGGTCAGCACGGTCGCGGGGCTTCAGATACAGCTTGCAAGCCACTTCCACAAGCAATTCTCCATTGAAAACAACATCATGACTGGGATGACATTTCAACACAAGGAGGTTTTTTCCCAAAAAGCTGTCTAAATCTCTCCAAGTCATGCACTTGCCGTCCCAGAGGTGTGCACTGGATCGGCTCCGACAGCCACCTCCCTCCAAGGTCTCCCCAGCCAAGAGGGGCACATCCTTTTGTGCTGCAGATGTAAATCCACACCTCTCACCTCTCCAGTCTCGAACAGAAAGAATGAAGCTGGTTTTTCTTGCTTCCTGCATATTTCAAGATAGTGTTTCAAGAAAAAAAAATGCCTCTATGCCACAGCCAGGGAGACTCAGCAGAAACTCCCACTGCCAGTTTTGCAGCCAATCCTCTTTGCACTTCAGTCTGCTACATGGCCCAAGATTCAGAAAGGGTTAAGGTGTGTGTATTTTTGAAAAGCTAATGTCAGGATGGACAGCAAACCGACTGATCACCAACAAAGCCAAGGAACTGTCTGAGTTAAGACTGAGTTCCTGCTGGGGAGATCCAGCAGATTCCCATTCAAACCAAAAACCCTTCCAGCTGATGGCTGGTCTAGAAAGGAGCAGAGATTCACCACATTTCATGAACTCAAGACTCAAGAGGAGGTGTAGAAATGGCCAGGGTCACCAAGTTCAACAGCAAAGTAGACCCTGCTCAGGATCTGACAGCTATGTTACCTGTGTTTTGGATATTTTACTCTCCTACAAGCTCTAGCTTGGCCTGATAAACTTAATGCCCACTAGCTGGTAAAACTTGTCTTAGTTAAACCCAAACTGTACCAGGTTTTGTGCTCCTAGACTGCTCCAAGGTACCTCACACAGGGACAGTAGAATTTCCCTTCCAAACCACACGCCCAACTTGAGCTGCAGAGGTACTGCCACAGCCCAGGTGATGTCTGGTCACCCAAAACAAGACAACACCCACATGCAGGCAAAATCTATGGCCAGCCTGAGCAGGCTCCATCTTGGCTGGCCACGGTGCCTTCCAGAGCAGAAAGCTCAGGACCAGATCCCATCTCTGGGTGAAGGAGCACCAGCAGTATCAATCTGCAGTGGGACAGTGAAGCATTGTTTGGGGATATCCAGCCATTCACTCTGTCTTATTTTAATCAGTCAACATTCAAAAGACAGATAGTGAGGCCAAAAGTCCTCTATCTTTATCTTTTTTCACTTAATCTCCAGCTGACATTTTCAGTGAAAACACGCCTCGTTTCTTGCTGTATGACTTCAACTCTCCCTCTCCCGTGATATTTTGTCTCAAACAGGCTACACAACCCGTTACTACTTTTATAGAGGTGGGAGTGGCATGCTTTGACTCTTCCAAGATACAAAATGCTCATCTGGCTTCAGCCACCAAACTGCAACAATGGGGACCAGCAGAGCTTACCCCAGCTGGGGAGCTCAGTGTCCACTGCTCCATGATCCCTTGGGAGCAGCTGCCTGACACCCCTCAGCTGCTTGTGGCAAAGAGCCACTGTCATCAGGCTCTCATGGGCTTCTCTAAGAGCTGTGCTGATGCTGAAGGGCTTGCATGGCAGCCCAGGTGTACCTTGGCCATCCATGTCTGCCACATTCCATCTCCCACCTTGCTCTGAAAGCCTTTTCCCACCCTCCAGACAGACAACACCTTTGCTGTGGCTGCTGGGAACTCCTCCTCTGGACAAACTTTTTTCACTCAGCCTGAGGCTGCTGGCTCAGGAAATGCCTTTGTTAGTGACAACACCATGCCAGCCTCATCATCAACCTGCTTATCCTTTCCCTTCCAATGTACTCCTCCAGCAGCAACTTCTATGCAACCAAATTGCAGTAAAATATCCAGAATGCCATTGAAGAAGTAACACTGTGAAACCCCTGCAAATGGATGACTTGGCCTTTACTTCTCTCTGCTATCTGCAGCTGCTCTGCACTAACAAGCAGCACACAGCCCAGTACAGCCTCGTGGCCCACTTGTCATTCACAAGAAGTGGGATTGCTGCGGACCCTGATGTCAGCTGCCTTTCTCCCAGACTGCTGCTAACACACACAGCCCATCAGGAACTGAAATGCTTTGCAAAGACAACAAGCAAAGGAGGATAGGCAGGCTAAGAGAAACTCCCAGAGCAGACCCAGGACCATCTGGCACCAACGGGAGCCTGTGCTGGGAGCAGAGCAGAGCAGGCAGCCCGGCTCCAGCTGCGGAGCTTCCGGAGAGCTGCCACAGAGAGGAGCATCCTTCCTGTGCCATCACCCTCAGCCATCCCAACACAACACACTCCTCTTCAGAGGAGAAGAAAAATGCCATCAACTTCAGGCCCAAAGATTAGGCTCTGGGGAATGCGAGCTTTTAAAAAAGGTTATAATTTTGGAAGTCCATTTAAATTAACCTTAACTAGCTTTAAACTCTATATACGTATCTCCTTGCCACGCTCACAACCCACGCACATTTTGCAGTGCCAGTGAGCTAAATCATGTGCAAGTGAGCAGAGTAAAAGAAACCATAAAAAAAAAAAAGCTCTGGGCAGAAACTCTTTCATTGTTGCAAGCAGCAAAGGAGATGGCAACAGCAGAAGGAATCGGGAATAAAAATGGAACTCGCTTGTTTACCTTGTCGGTTTTGTCAAAACATTGTGACAACGCTTTGCATGCAGCCAGTTTCTCTGTTCTGCCACCAAAAATTCAGAGCCCTTCACCTTTCTTCACACATTACAAGAGAAAGCCAAGAAGAGTAAAACTTTTAGGGAGAGAAATGACTGTGCAAAAGATATAAAAAAGCCCAGCATGAGAATTTCAAACTACTGGGCTCCTCTTCCAGATAGTCCAAACACCACCAGGAACAGTGACCCTCCAGCTGCACAAGCTGAGTTAACAAGGAGCAGGCAGCCAACGAAGGAGGAGAGTAAGACAATAAAGGGAAAGTTTGGGTAAGCCTGACAAAAATCAAAAGAAAAAAGAAGTAAAAAAACGCCAGGGGAAAAAAAAAAAATCTGCAAACTGGGTTTCTAAAAAAGAATTCTTGACAGTGTCTTTTTAAAAGAGAAACTCACAGTGCTTCAGGCAGAGCTCTACCTCTCCAAAAGCCACCCAAATCCAGTAGGAAGCAGCAGGTTTTTGAAGGAGCAAATTGCACAGCTGTGGAAGAATTTGCCTTTACTGCCTTCTTTCCAACTCAGCTAAGACAGACTCAATGTCTACCTGGAGGACTAGTAAAACCGAGGAAATTGGTTGGTTCTAGTTATACTTCTGAGGTTTTCATGCTTGAAGAGAGCCCCTGAAATGTAAACCTGTTTTAGCATTCTTGTACATTAATGTCGTCGTTCTCCTTGCTGACTCCCACAACTTCTGCCACAGACAAGTCAATCAGATTTGGTATATGCCCTGGGACAGGGAAGGGGAGGGCTAGGTTTAAAGCAAACAAGAAACCAAAAAATAATTATGTCAGTGCTCTGCAAGGTGCTGGATCCAAGCTCGGTGGATCTGCTGAAGTCTTCGATCCAAAACACTTGGCAATTTTACTTTAAAAAAATGAAACAAAAAATACTTTGACCTGTTGAACTTAGAGAAAAGCAAGTGGCAGACCTTGGAGGAAGGGAGACAGCGTGTGAGGGTGCAAAAACATCATGTGCTGTAGTTCACCACTTTAGAAGAAATCAGAGTTTTGCTTTGGTTGGTTTTGCTTTTCCTGAAGTGCCAGGGAAAGGCGCTTCCCAAAGGGCGACTTTAGAGTTTACGGGCGCCAAGGTGGAAGCGTGAAGTGAAGACATGCCAAAAATGTCAGGTTTGCATAAACCCTTCTGGAAAAAGTGCACCGTGTTTTAGGAAAAATGCATATCTACCAAATCTCCACTGACCAGGGCCACTTGTGCACGCAAAGTTGCATCAATTGGCAGCATCAGTGCTGACATTTTTGCCTTCTCCTTCCACCCCCCTCCCCAATTTTTTCTTTCCTTGGGAGACATAGAGTGCCACTGCATTAGAACGTACAAGAAATGAAAACAGTGAGTACGACTGATATAGATCCATTGACTTTTTATTACAAATGTACTTGATCACTTGGCTTCAAAAAAGTTTAAATCAACCCCTATTTTCTGTACGCCAGTACAAAGTAAAATCTATTTTACAAATTAAATACCTAAAAATTTGACAAAAATATTAAAGTTTGATGGAAAAAACAGTTATAAAAATCTTAAATCCCCTTTTAAGAAGATAAGAGATAACATTCCCTCCCAACCCCCACAGTCCTGTTATACAATATTAATAGTCATTTTTTTAGAATAGGTAGGTATGTTATATCTTGCTGTTAGCATACAAGTCACTCTAATAGCTTTATCTGTATATACTCCAGTTAGTGCATGAATGTCATCTGATTGAATATAATCAACTATCTTTAACTGATCCCTAATTTACATTTCATAGCTTGCATAGTTTGAAGGGACAAAGGTTACACTACAGCTAATCATAAAAAAAGGTGGTTACAGTGCTATTTTTAAAGGCAACAAAGTAATTGCTCCCAAAAAGAACCCAACCCAAAACGAAACAAAAAAAAGAAGTTACCGGTCGGCTCTGAGCAGGGGTTAAATCCCCGGCAGCAGCTCTGCCTGGCTCACGGGGTGGGCTCTGCGCCCGCCCGCTGCCCCCGGGGCAGCCCCTCCGCGCTTCCCCCAGTCCCGGGACAGCTCGGGAACCGCTCTCCCGGCAGCGCTGCGCCCCGCGCATTTCAACCCGTGCGAGGGATGCGCACAAAGTGACACTGTCAAGTATTTCTCTCCGTTTTTTTTTCCCAATTGAGTTTTCAAAAAAGCGAAAAGCCCTCCGCCTGCGGGCGCGCCTGGCGGGGAGCTCGGCGCGCTCCCGGCACCCGCGGCCGGGCTCCCGCTCTGCCGCCGAGCCCAACCCGGGGCTCCCGGTACCGGGGCGCGGGGGGAACCCCGGAGGGTCCGGCCAGGCCCCCCCGGCTCCCGGGAAGCTGCTGGCTGCCTCCCGCCGCAGCATCGGAAGCGGGACCGCAAAGAAGAGGCAGGAATCAACAGCGGCTCGTGCTGTTTCTTTTTTTCTTTTTTATTTAAATTCTCAAAGACAGAGCAATTTCACTTTTTTGTTTTCATTTTAACAAAAAAAATAGAATTTTAATTCGGAGGACATTTCCCCGTTAGCATAAAACCACTTAAAAGGTGGTTGTATTTCAATGGTAAATTACTTGACAGTGTCCCTTTAACTTAAAAATAAAATAATGTCAGTATTGCAATGAATTTCAAGTTTTCTTGCACGTAGTCATTATAAAGTAGCTTTTATCATGCTCTTGGACCTATTCTACAAGACATTTAAAAGCATATCATCAAGGAAAATATAAGGCATACTTCTCAGGAATTAGGTATCTTGGCACATTTGAGCATACTGTCTTTTTTTAAAACAACACATATGGTCAAATATACCTTTCTTCTTCTAACATTAAACAGGGTTTTCTGTACTTTGTTTTAAATACTGAGATATTAGAGCCTTGGTAAAGTACCGAGCACCTCCGGGAAAACAAAAATTAAAACAAAAAAAGCAAAAAAACAAATCCAAAGGAAACTAAAACAACCAGGAGCAAAATCTCACGAATCTTTACAGTCATTTTAGTCTTTCGTTATCATCATTCATCAAGTCCTTGAACATCCAGAACGTGCGTTAAAAGAAGAATAAACCAAAACGAAACAAAAAAAAAAAAAACTCGAGGAAACACGCAGAAGAAACCCAAAACGAGACAAAAACTGACCACGAGTTCTCGGCCACTGTTCACAGAACTGCCCGCGGGCTGTTCCAGGCTGTACTGGTTTGACTGGACCCGTGCGCGCTCCTCGAGTCAGCCGGATCCTGGGCAGGATCCGGGCGGCGCGGGCGAGGAAGACCACGGGAGGAGCCTGCCTCGTTAGCGATGCTCCCAGGAGCCGGGAGGGACGGAAGGACACTCCGCCGTGCTCTCCTCGCCTCCCCGCTACTTATTGCTGGGAACGCACCGCGGCGGCGTGGAACTACGGGCGCCGGAGCGCGTCCGTCGGCAGCGCCACAACTTTGGGGAGGGCAGTGAACAGCAGGACCGAGACAATCAATCAAGTAGCAAAACCAAAGCAATTAAATTCCTAACTACGTCTAGCAGCATGGAGAGTGCAGTCCCGACACATCACAGTTGAAGTACAATAATCGCTGGAACTGCCCATCCAGAGCCTCCGAATCAGAAGCAGGTTATCAGACACATGTTTACATGCAATTGAGAACCATTTCAAATGTCACATTACGCACTCTGAAAAGCTTATTTCACTACTGGGAAATAGGAAAAGTGCACATTAAAGCAATTTTAAACATTTCCAGTGATTGTTTAAAAAGAAACAGAAACACCTCGCTACCGACGGCTCGTGTTTAACTTTCTGTGAACACTAACAGCAAACTTCTTTCAAGGGCAATAATGCATGGTACAATGGAAACAGCTTGTTTTGACACTTACAGTACATCTCAAAAAAAAAAAAAAAACCAAACAAAAAAACACCAAGAAAACCCCAAAACCCCAAGAAGAAAAAGGGAATTATAATTTCAACTGGGAATAAAATGACAGCAGGAAATCAAATTCTTTAAAACAAGCTTTTTTTTTGTTTTCTCCCCACCCTTCCGAAACTCCATCCTTGCCCCTCGGTAAAGAAGTGCTGGCAGCTCCTGCTCACACAGGAGCAGCTCAGGTCTACCTGACCCCTAACTCAGCCAAGACCATTCAGCAAAATGATTGCATTCCCAAAAAACTTCCGAGTGGAACGAGATTCTAGTTTCTCTGAAATGCTCTCTACTGAATTCCAGCCAAGAAAAGAAAAGAAAAGAAAAAACAAAAAATAAAGTTTTGTTTTCACTGTTTAAGGCATCTTTTTTTTTATAACATTTTCTCTTCACTCACAATGATGATAGTCATGCAGCAGTTTAATGATAAAAATATATTAATATTTTACTATACAGCAGCAAGAAGTTAGTCAATTAAAAGCACACCAACTTTTTTTTTTTTAAAGAAAAAAAGAAAAACATAACTGAAAAACAACGAAGACAACCTGTAAAAGTCTATTATTATTCTTATTATTATTACAAACAATTTCAATTTGGAGAACACAGCTGGACAGATTAGTGTTCTGACAAATCTGTGTTTCCCTAGCCTAGGCTTCGAGCAGAGCCCGCGCCCGGCGGGAGCTGGGACGGGGAGGGCAGGGCACGGCCAGGCTCGCCAGGTATGTAGCCAGTAATGAGAACTAGCACCACAGCTACATGGAAATCCATTACGGACACACACCGGCTTGGCTTTCACTGTCCAACCAAACTCCGACCCCCATGGCTCAGTGGGATCACGCTGCCCTCGCTGCACTGCTTCTACCAGGCCTACGGGAGTGAACGGGGATCAAAGCATCGCTCCGACTTCAGGAGATAGTGCTAGTGCCAGTGGCCACACGGAAAGACTCGCTACCTGCTGTCCAAAAACAGGTGGACTGGAAACCGCTGCATGTCAGGTTAAGTACTTTAAGTACACAGAATAAAAAAAATATATTATGAACAATACAAGTACATCTCATATACACAATAATGACAATATGCCTACTCAGTTGTAAACCAAACAGGTGCAGAAAAAAAATATTATGGGAGGAAATTCTTTACTTTTCGTTTTTTTTTTTTTTCTTTTTTTTTTTTTTTTTTTTTTTTTTTTTTTTTTTTTTTTTTTTTTTTTTTTTTTTTTTTTTTTTTTTTTTTTTTTTTTT